GCATGACCAGCAGGTTGAAGGAGGTGATTCTCCCCCTCTACTCCACTTTTTTGAGACCCCAAAGAGCACTTCACCCAGCTCTGGGGCCCCCAACATAAGAAGGGCATGGACCTGTTGGGGAGAATCAGCAGGAGTGCCACAAAAAATGATCAAAAGGCTGGAGCACCTGTCCTACGAAAACTGGCTGAGAGAATTGGGGTTGTTCAGCCTGGAGAAGAGGCAGCTTCGGGGAGGCCTTATAGCAGCCTTCCAGTACCTAAAGGGGGCCTACAAGAAGGCTGGAAAGGGATTTTTTGCAAAAGTATGTAGTGACTGGAGAGGGGGATGGTTTTAAACTGTAAGAGAGTAGGTTTAGATTAGATATGGGGAATAAATTCTTTACTGTGAGGGTGGTAAGGCACTGGAACAGGTTGTCCAAAGAAGTTGTGGGTGCCCCATTCCTGGAAGTGTTCAAGGCCAGGTTGGATGGGGCTCTGAGCAGTCTGGTCTAGTGGAAGGTGTCCCTGCCCATGGCAGAGGTTGGAACTAGACGATTTTTAAGGTTCCTTCCAACCCAAAGCACTCTTATTATTCTATGAGAGGAAGTGAAATGCAAAAATAGTAGTTTTGGCAACATAACTGTACAGGTACTACCCAACCCATGCAAGGGATGGGGTGATGTGGGCTTCTTTCTCCTCCCTCTGCCCCTTATTTAAAAGCAAAACTTCATCTTGTGGTTGGACACAAGCCTTTGCATTTAATGGATTGTTTGAATGAAGTGAGAAGTGGATGCTTTGCGAAGCAGTGGGACACTGGACGCACAAACTCATTAATGTAGCAGTGAGTCTTTCTTGAGCTAGGTGTGCTTTCGCATTGGGAGCCACATTCATCTGTGACTTCAGCCACTTTGGTATCCCACAGCAGAAAGCAGAAGTTAACTACAGGCCTGCACCACACCCTAGAACACACAACACAGTACAGATGAGGAGACAGGAGTGTGTAATTCAGGATACTATAGCGTGGGGTGTTTATCACCTTGCAGGCACTTTGAGGCATGGCTCATAGTCACAAATGCCAATTCTAGGGTCTTAGAAAATCAGTGAAGACTTCTCAAAAATATGTGGCAATTCAGAACAGAAGCTAAGATTAATATCCGAGAAGAATGGTTCAAGTATTTAAAGTTTCCCTTTTCACAGTAGCTGTAAGGTACAGTATTTCAGTGGTTGCTCTCCAAAATTAGAACCCCTTACACAGTTTCTCTTATTTGTCTGAAAGTTTGCCTTCAACACCAAATAAAATCTGAAAAATGTGTCCACTTTGATGCTGTTTCAGGAAATCTAGGAACTGGCCAAGATCCATGTGATAGTCATTCCTCAGGCCGTAATCACCATGTGCCTGAAACTGCAGGTCTTCAAAACCATGAAAGAGACGAATATCATCAATGTTTCCCTCTGTTTCTATGTTGTCCACATGCTTGCATGAAATATGCTTCCAGTTGGGATATCTAATAACACGCCAGAACTCTTCACAGTTTTCTCGGAGCCCCTCCACACAGATGACACCAGGTTTCCCAGTTAGGCAGAAGCCAGTCAGATTTAACTTCTTTGCAGAGTCAAAAATCTTTTTTCTCAATTCCTGCCTGTATATATGGTGGCTGTAGATCCACGTGCGATGCAAAAATTCTTTAACTCTGACTTCTTTTGAAGCACGTTCAGAAGAGATTTTACTGTTTTCCAAGTAAGGCAGGCTGTTGTCCTTCACCCACTGCACAGTTTCACATATACACAGATCACCTGAACTCAGAGAGCTGATGTGAGAAGTGAGACGGGTGTTGAGCTGCAACTGTTGCTGTCTGTGCAGTGCATCTGATCTGGCAAAAAGCTGAGGAGCTACCTGAGGATACATATGAGGAAGGTGTACGTGCAATTCCACCTTTACCTTAAAAACAGAACACACACACAGAGAAAATTAATTCTGTAGCTAATGAAGGCATGCTAGATTCTTCTTCCCTGTCAAAGGCAAATTAGGAGGAAATGTAATTAAGATTGCAGTATCCCAATGACTGCAATTACTTTCACCTTCCTTTTGTCCCAATAGCCCATTCTTTTGTCTGCTCCTTTTCTTTTATTGCATCATGCTGTCACTTTCCCAAAATTTCTCGTGTTATCCAGGCTGCTCTTCTGCTGGCCACAGAACTAATGCTATGGCTTGGGAGAAGGTACCCAGTTACCCTCTAGGGATATTTCTTGTGTGTTCTCAGTATGTGCTCAGTGTTGCTACAGTGATGAACTATGAATCTGTTAGGGGGGGTTGAGAATCTTATCCCTTACCAAACACACATTTGATCAATGAACTCAGGCCAGTTGCTGGATCTACCCCAGGAAAACAAGGCCAAGAGTTGCACGAAACAGCATTTATGATTGTACATACCGTATACAGAGACACGTGGCAGTGGGGTTGGTGGAACTAGATGATCTTTAAGGTTGCTCCCAACCCAAACCATTCTAAGATTCTATGCATTATTATATTTTAAGCAAGTATTCACAATAAAGGGGAAGTATTCTCAGGATTGTAGGGGATAAAAAGATTTATGTGCATTTTAGGTCAGGGAAATATCTAGATTATCTTGTCTGATCTCCTATGAACTCTGGGCTGTTGAATTTCTCTTGATTATTCCTACAGTGCCTTCAAACGGAGCACCACAGTTCTTTGGAAACTGAACCCTGTCTCTGGTCCAAGAGCACGAGAGGATTTATGTGTCCTCAGTGCTTGAGGCTCCTGTAGACCTTTAGGGGATTCTCACTAGAGTGTACAATCACATGATTAGTCCTGCAGAGAAAAGTGAAATGTGAAATGACTAATTATCTTTCCAAGTTCCTTGACAATCTGCCATAGGTACGAGCTTAGGTATCTTTCTAAAATGCACCCTTTCACCAGCCTTCAGAGAGAAGTTCTATGAACCGTGTAGGGAGGGCTTGTACTGGAGTAGTGGGGTTTTTTCTAAGTTTCCAAATAATCACGAGGCCACCTCATTACCCAGTAAATTCTTCTAATGTTTAATTATCCTGGTCCTGAGAAAAATGGCTTCTAGGCTGAGTTTGTTCTCAATTTCTAGTCATTGCATTATTATACACTCAGACCTATGTTCTCTGTGCAAGTATTTACATTACTTACTTGTCATATTGTAGCCCTTTCTTCAATCAGATAAACTATCACCACTCCTTATACTGTAAGTTTGGTTTCCCTGCTCATAGGCTGGTTTTGTTTTAGTGTTTGTGTGACTCCTCTTAATTTTATTCTGCTGTGTGGGGCTATTTTTACATTACTGTATTTCAAATGCAGACCAATGAATGTCAGTACATGTGCAAAGGGTGGAAGAGAGAAATAATAGAGTGATTTTGCTAGAATAATGTAAAATCCAACATACGTATTCCCATGCAGGGAACATTGCCTTTGAAATGCACAGCTATTTGTAAACCAGTAAACTCTGATTTCACAGCCTCTTGTGAATGCTGTGTGTGCCATAGATATTGGTGCCTATTTCTATGTGCCATTCTATTAGCCTTTATTGACCAGAGAAAGTTAATACTCAAATAAATAACAGCCAAGACTTTTCTGTTACTCTTGGCTTTTGGGTTTTCCCCCCCTTTTTTCAGAGTAGAGTTTTCAAGTGTATGTAGGAGTAAAGAAAACAACACACATGAACACGTCTACTTGGCAGTTCTTACCTTCGCCTCCCCTACATCAAGAGCGATGCAATATTCGAGCTGCGGGGGCAGAGCTCCACCAGAGTTTTTAAGGTAGCGCTGGACGCTGGGCACGGCATCTTTATCCAGATTGATTTCACCTCTTTTGGGAAACATCGAAAGGAGCATTTCCACTTCCAGCAGCTGGAGCTCCAGGCATTCTTTTACCGTGACAGCCATCACGCTGTCCTCCACGCCCGCCTGGAACGAGAGGCCTGGAGTCAAATCCCGGTTCTTAGGACACGGTGAGGTTTAGCACCATGTCACAACGCAACAAGGAAGCCCCACGATTCTTTAAGGGCAGAATTTGATTAAACGCGGCTGGGCACACAGCGCTCAGCAGCCAGTCCCCTCGCAGGAGTGCCCCACACACGCCGGGCAGGGCTGGCACCTCGGTGCTCCACAGAGCCAGGCGGAACCGTGCCGGGCTCAGGGACGGGAAAGAGCACAGGCTGGAGACCCGCGTCAATGAGCGCGGGCAGGAACGGCCGCGTCTGCGTGTCGTGGTTCAACTCCAGCCAGCAGCCGAGGTCCGGGATCCCTCCACCCGCGGGATCAGGGGAGAATCGGAAGGGCAAAAGCCAGAAAACCCGTGGGTTTGAGATAAAAGCAGTTTAATATGAAAAACAAATGCCGCGCACATAAGCAAAGCAGAACAAGCATTAATTCACTGGGCAGGGAGGTGTTCAGAGCAGGGAGATGTGTAACGGTGGCTTGGGAAGACAAACGGCACCACTCCAAACCCCTTCCTCCTTCTTCCCCACACTTTATATACTGAGCTTGATGTCACACGGTCTGGAATAACCCTTTGGTCAGTTGGAGTCACCCTTCCCGGCTGTGTCTCCTCCCAACCTCCCACGTACCCGCATCCGCCTCGCCAGCGTGGCAGTACGGAAAGCAGAAAAGGCCTGAGCTCTGTGTAAGCCCTGCTCAGCAATAACAAAAACATTTCTACATTATCAACCCTGTGTTCAGAACAAATCCAAAACACAGCCCCGTACCAGCCACTGCGAAGAAAAATAACTCCGCCCCAGACAAAACCAGCACACTGGGGCGGCAGTTTGGAGTCCGAGCGTGACGTCAGTGAAGCTGTGCAAGACTGGATATCCCCGAGAGCCCGACCCGTCCCAGACACAGCCGGATTTTCCCGCAGGAGCGGGGCAGGGGCGCAGAGCGCTCGGCCCGGCCGCGGCTCTGAGAGGGGTGGGCGTGGCCCGGGCGCCACGTCGCAGACTAAGCCCCGCCCATCGCGAGGCCATTGGTCGGTTGCACAGCCTGTGGGCGTGGCCGCGCCGGCTCCGTGAGGGGCGCGCGGCGACAGCGGGATCGGAGGGGGTTTGTCGTGTCCCGTCCCTTCCCGTCCCTTCCCGTCCTGTCCCTCCCGGCAGGTGGGTCCGGGCGTCGGCGCCGCGGGATCCCGAGGGCATCAGCCGTGCAGGGAGGCGGCTGCGAAGGCGCCCGTCGTGGCGTGTGTCCGGCCGGCCCCGCCCGGCCCGGCCCGGCCCGGCGGCTGTGTGCGCTTCAGGTGGCCGTGACCGGGTGGGTCCGCACGGAGCGCCTCGGCAGAGCCGCCACCCGAAGGAAACGTCCCGGGGACACTGCTGGGGGATTCCCTACAAGGGCTTGGAGAGGGAGGGCAGGCTGCTTTGGGGATCGAGAGTTAGTCTGAGGGGTCGCGGCCGAGCGTGGTGGGCGCTGATGTTGGGGTGAGAAGCGGGCGGGAAGTTGTCGGGACCCCTGGATCCAGCCGGCCGGGAATCGCGGCTCTCCTCGCCTCCTCCGTGCGTGATCTGTTTAAATCTGGTCGAGCTCTGTTTATCCAGTGCTGTACAGGGAACGTAGAGGCTCCTTCACTGGTGGTGCCTGGCTTTACTCCCACCAAGGGACTTGATACGAGTGGTTTAAAGTATCCTGTGGGCTTCAAAGTTAAAAACGTGGAACTAATTACAATGACTTGAGTTCTCTCACTTGTTACTTCCTGCTCTAGAAATGGATCCCGAAGCCCTTAGAAAATACTCAGCCTTACATCCCAAGCCTGCCGGCCTGGCTCTGCAGTATGGCACTGCTGGGTTTCGCACCAAGGCCCAGCAGCTGGATCACGTCATGTTCCGCATGGGCCTGCTCGCAGTCCTCAGGTCCAAAGCCGTGGCAGCAACTATTGGTGTCATGGTTACAGCATCTCACAACCCTGAGGTAAGATCAGCCTTTTCCTTAAACATGTGACCAGTTTGGTGGAGTGGTGTGAAATGTTTTGGTAGAATGATGGAAAGATGTGATCAGTTTGGTGGAATCAAAGCTCATCATGGCACTGAGAGACCAGATACTGAAGACACTTGGACCTACTTAAAGCACACATTTAGCCTGCTCCCTGTAAATATGATCTCTGGCATATTTGAAGTTACTTTTCCCTCTGACCCAAGTGTCATTTTTTCTTATGTTGAAATAGTGTAACATACAAAACATTTTATGTTGCAACGTAACTTTTTGACATTATCAAGCTAGGAGCACCCTTGAGAAGGGAGGAACTTCTGAGCAAAATTTGTAAGTTTTAAAAATAAACACCCAAATGCAGCAATTACAAATCAGGCACTTAGACTTATTGCTGCTGTGGAGCATTGCAGTTTATTTGAATCTCCCCTTACATCATTGCAATGTCAAATTAGTTTCATACCAAAATTACAAGGGGGAAAAAGTCGGTTACTTAATATGCTGGTTATGGTACTTTTGGGGGCCTTGTTGGAGGTTTAAATAAACAGCTCAGCTTTTGCATCTCAGCAGTTCTCCACCTTTAAAGAAGCAATGTGATTGAACCATATGTTGGCTGTCTTCAAAGAGATTTTACTAAGTTCCCCACTTGTAGACTTAGTATCTTTTGTTCTTTTTTTTTCTACTAAGGAAGACAATGGCATAAAGCTGGTTGATCCTCTTGGAGAAATGCTGCACCCTTCCTGGGAAGAGTATGCCACACAACTAGCAAATGCAGAGGAGCAAGAATTACAGGAAGTGATAAGTGAGATCTGCCAAAAAGCAGAAGTGAACCTGCACAAAGATTCTTTGGTTTTTATTGGTAGAGACACCAGGTAGTTACCAAATGCTGTAGATGTATGCTGCTTTTATAGAGGTGCCAGTGCTGTGTTCATGGGTGCTTTTGGGGTGCTTTGCCCCCTGCAGCCAGATTATGCTTTTTCTATGCCTAAATTTATGATTATAGCAATAAGCAGAAGTTTTCCAATGCTGTTCCTATGTTGGCTGCCCTGATAGCTACGAGAACTTCTTATCACTGTTTCTGGACGTGATGCTTTATTGTGATGTGGGGTTTTTTTGTGGGTACTGTGGGATGTCCACCTATGTTCAGCAGTTTACTTGTCTTTGCAATTCCCTGGGGATTGGCTTTCAAACTTCTTTATTGAGAATTGCCTGCAATATAGAAAAAGATATGGATTTCTTCACTATGAGTCTAAACCTACTGACAGGAAGTTTGTACAGTCTTCCACATGTCTCTTTCCCAAGCCCATACATAAATGTCTTTGCAAAGGTTATCAGTTGTATTTGTTGTTTTCCAGGCCAAGCAGCGAGAAACTCTCCCAGTCAGTAATAGATGGGATTCTTGTTCTGGGTGGTCAGTACCATGGTATGTTAAACTTCTGCAATTCTAGTTTTTTATGTAGATGTGACTCTTTTATATAGGCCTAAGGCAGTAGCCCAGACACATTTCCATTCTTTCTTGTAACAGTGTCCTTTCAGGGTACTCGTATGGCTTTAATGCAAGGAGGGGTGGGGGTGGGAGTCATCTTTTTGCAACAGAACTTCAAAAATTTCGTATGTATTTCCTGCCCTGCATTTGTCTGTATACCAGACAACTTTGAATCAACAGTTAATTTGCAATTCTATTTCTGAATATTATGCCTTTTATTTCATGCTAGATTATGGTCTGGTGACAACACCACAGCTACATTACATGGTCTGCTGTCAAAACACCCAAGGGCAGTATGGGAAAGCAACACTGGAAGGCTATTATGAAAAACTATCCAAAGCTTTTATGGAACTGATAAAACAGGTGAATAGTGGGTGTTGTCTTTTTCATGCAAATGTACAAAATTATTATCTTCTGATTGTTAGCCTGCTTGGGCCTGGATTTTGGAATTCAGCTTGCCTCTAGTTGTGGTTTCGCTAGGGCAAGGGTTCACTTTGCCCCTTCTTTCCTTGTGCTAAGTCTCACAGCTCTGGAGAGTGTCAGAGGCACCTGAAGATTGACTGTGCCAACGGAATAGGAGCCCTGAAACTATCAGAAATGAAGCCCTACTTTCCACAAGAGGTGCTAATTCACATATATAATGATGGAACCAAGGAGAAACTCAATCATTTATGTGGTGCAGATTTTGTGAAAGTTCATCAGAAACCACCCAGAGGTACGTAGTTGGTAATTTTATATCACTTTACCTCCTCTCCAGGCCTGAAAGCGCAGGGTCTGGCAAGGGTGCATCATCTTCAGATCAGCTGCGCTCCCTATTCCTTACTAGTGACTGCGTGAATGGTTCTGCTGGTGCAATGGAAAGAGAGAATCGTATGGCCAGGTTTGGCACAGCTCTAGTTTATGTTAAACTGTTTGGAGGAGTACAGTATCTCTCTGAGTGGCTGAAGTATGTTTGACAATCTGTTCTGAATGTTAAGCTGGTGGAGTCCAAAGATCAGTCAGGACTGGCTTAATGTTGTTTATTTTGCTTCCCTTTGTGATGTGAAGAAACATTCATGTTGTGGGCAGGGTTTGCAGATGCTTTTTTGAGTTCCTGAAGAAGATCTGGGATAATTAACAGCTTGATGCCAGCAGACCGGCATATTGACATATTAGTGACTGACATAAACCAGAGAGGAAATTATTTGAACTGATTTCCTGCAAAGTGGATAAAAGAAAATCCCTGAACTGGAAGAGCAGGGTGGTTTGGATATGAGGTTACTTGAGGTTAAAATGGGTTCTCCATTGGACAACTGCATTCTCACTGCAACTGCTGGCCAAATCTGAACACCAAATTATGGTGTGGTTTCTCCTTCCCATGCTGCTGTGTGCTGGAGAAATGCCAGCACAGTGGGAGCAGCACAGTGTCAGTCACTGCTGGGGATGGAGGCTTGTGTGTCACCTCTGGATCCTGGTTTTAACTGTGCCTGACGAGAGTCTCTTTGGTCATTTCCATGCAGGGCTGTGCTCTGAAAAGAAAATGGGTTTTCCTAATCACTCACTGAAACAAATTATCTGATTTTTCTGAAGGGTTAGGTGGTATCAGCTTCCTGTTTAAAGTCATAGAGAGTCCTAGCTTGTTAAATGTTGCAGTTGCCATTACCTCATGCTTTGGCTTCAGGACCTCACTGGCACTGGGATTTAGTGTCCTGTATCACTTCAGGCAAGCAGGAGAAGAAACAGGCAAGGTTTGGGGTATAATTTCCTGTGCTCTGAAGAGCAAGGTGTCACCAAGGTGGGCCAGTTTTTCTGTCTGCTTGCGTACTAAAATATTTTTTCCAAGAAGGGGGCACAGGATGTAGCATGTCCTTAGGAGCTCCCTGCTGGGTTCCTGGTGGACTCTCAAACCAGCCTAGAGAATGGCCAGCTGCAGTTTCTGAGAAATAGACCCTGAGGTTAATGTGACCTTATGACATCTAAAGAAAAGCAAGATTTACCTTAACTAAAGCAATTAATTTCTGTGTGGCATTGCTGTGTCAGTGAGGACTGTTTCCTAACTGTTTCTCTCTTGGAATTAAGCCTAGAAAGTTTTTGAGGCAGGTACTCCTTATGCATTGTATACATTGTTGTGTAAGTTTAATATCAAGCACACTAAATGTGAGGCATTTTATAGCCAGCACATCCACTTGTATATTTTTTGTACAGCTCTAAGAAATCTTGGTGATGGCTACTTTGGAGAGGGGTAGTTTTTTCAATGTTTGGATTTATGTGCCACCTCCTGTTGTAATTGTATTTCAGCGATGGCTTTGCTGGTGTGGGGGTGCATGTTTGCCTTGCATTAGGAAAGACATCAAAGGGGAGGAGCAGGTCTGGCAAGTGGGAATGGAATAAAATTAAACAGGCCAGAAGTATTTCCTGAGGAAGAGCATTTCTTGATACAAGGGAAAAATAATTAATTGTTGTCTTGGAGGGTGAAGTACAGAGTACACAGAGGACCAGCCATGAGCAGGGAAGTGCAGTGACATGGCCCCAGAGCCCTCCTCTGCCTGGATATAGTTTGTCTCCACGCTCAGGGCTGCACAGCGTGCCACAGCCTGCTCAGAGGAGCAGTGAGGGAGGGCTGGGTGTGTGCCCATGTCCAGCTAAGGCCACTCAGCTGCCACTCGCTGCCTCAGGCTCCTGCTCAGGTGTCAGGCAGGGCCCCAGGTGTCACAGCAAACATGGGCTGGCTTTGCCACGCAGCGGGGGACAGCGACTCGCCTCCATCTGAAGGTGATGTGTATGGTCTGTCTGTGGTGTCTGGATGTCTGCTTGCTGGTGACTGGGTGTGTAAAATAAGGGGTGGGTGTTCCGCTGCTGCAAGGTTTTTAACCTTGTGCCATCACTGATACTCAGCCCCTATTTCCAAATTTTAGAGATGTGACTATACGCAGTAGTTCTGGGACTGCTTTTCATACATGTCTGAGGAGAAGGTGTATTATCATTAATGTTTAGAGAACCTGCATTTTTGATATTAGTATTTGTATTTTTGATTTGAATATGCACTTCAGTTGCCATTCAGTACAGATTCCCTGTTCCATGTCTCTCAGTCTGAGAGCGTTATTTTTGTGTGTTCACAGAGCTAATTTCCTTATGAGATCCACTCTGGGACTAATTTGAGCACTTTGTGGTTTTTTCTGTCTCTAACTTGCATTTGTAACTGTGTGTGCACTAGGGCTAGACATGAAGCCCCATGAGAGATGCTGCTCCTTTGATGGCGATGCAGATAGAATTGTTTATTACTATAAGGATGCAACCGGCCATTTTCACCTAATTGATGGAGATAAAATAGCAACTTTAATTAGTATCTTCCTTAAAGAACTTCTTGCCAAGGTAACTTTACAAACTAAAGTGCCACCATTCACTTCATATTTTAAAGTGTAAAAGAGTCTGGTTGTGGCAGTCAAGGGTTTGTGTGTTATCATTCCCAAACCACTCTCTGCCACATAGCATCCTCTCCGCACAAGGGATAGAGAGAAAAAGCTTTTCTTTTTTTGCAGAAGTCCTCTTGGACTCAGTGTCTATGATACTGAACCTAGACAAGGCAGCCTGGTTTTGTTTTCTCAGAGACCAGTTCATTTCTGTGTCAGAGAAGCTGGCCAGTGAGGAGAACTTGTGCTTGCCACCAGCCTGTGCTTACTTTGCACTGGAAGCTTTGACTTTACTGCTTGTGTATGTGGCCTCATGTAATGCCATGTGTCTGGCCTGTGCACAGAGCTAACTGAATCTGAAAAAGCAGTTGGGAAAGTCTGAGCTTGGAGAGCTGCTTCAGCCAGCCACAAGAAAAAACAAAACAAAGACTTGGACAGAATTCATGTTGTTTTAAACATAAAAAGTTCTCTGTGAGCTCCTGTCTTCCTCTGATGCCCAGGAGTTTTAAGTGTATGTTTAACAATTCTAATTATTCTTCAATTTATCCTGCTTGTTTGGCTATGGGCCCATAGTACACTAAAGCACTTGGCTTCTTGGTTTGCTCAGGTGAGACAGAACTTCGAGATGGCCGTGGTACAAACAGCGTATGCCAATGGGAGTTCGACACGCTACCTCGAGGAAACACTAAAGGTATTCTCCATATTTTTCCTTGCTGGTTTCCTGCAAATGTTACTTAATGCAAATTTGTTTACTTTTAAAATAAATGCTTCTGTAATATGATTGTTGGAAAACTTTAATTGGGTGAAAATAAATTACTCCTTCGAAGCTGCAGTACTGACTAAATTCTTGGTGGCGAAGGAGACCCAAGAGAGCAAAGCTGAAAAAGTTCCAGTCAGCTTTTACTAATTTAAAAATGTTAAAATCCATTTTTCCGTCTCGAACAAGCTGAGGACTTCATAACTTTGCAGCAAAGTGAATTAGTAAAGGCTCCTTGATACTGTGACACTGAGTTTAATTTTCTGCAACAAGCTACATGTTGTTCACTACAGAAATTGAGCAGAGGTGTTATTTCTGTTTGTATAGAAATCTGTTGTGTTCCCTGAAGCCATAAGCTGAATTGGGTTTTTCTAGCTTTGGAGTTTGTTTCTTGATTTCTTTCATTAGCCTTTATTTACACTTGAATAAATGAAATCTTTTTTAATTGGGTCTGCAGACATAGTGGACAATATTAGCTCTGCGGAGTCAGTGGCTGTGAAACATGGGTTAGTTTGTAACAGTCTATCCAGTTCTATCCAGGTTGGTGCTCAGTTCCTGCACTTCACTTGACCTGCAGTTCTGAGGCCAGTCTGACCTTCTGAGGCCAGTCTGTAACATCATTGTCATTCTCTGCATATCCTTGGGCTGCAGGTACCTGTGCACTGTGTCAAAACAGGAGTGAAACACTTGCATCACAAGGCCCAGGAGTTTGATGTTGGTGTTTATTTCGAGGCGAATGGACATGGTACAGTAAGTGTGACCATGTAATGCATATGATCAGCCAATATGTACAAAATTTTAGTTAGACTAGCTGGAAAAGAATGTCTTTTCACTCTCTGCTTACTTTTATAAACCAGACTTTTCTCTCCTTGTTTGAAAATAGATTTGTTTTCCCCTACTGTCTTTATCATAGCATTGCCACCAGGTTCTCTGTGGTTTACGTGGGCATGAGAATTCATGATAGCAAATATTAATGATGGTTATTTGGGCTTAGATAGTAACAATTTTTTCCTTGTTGCTGCACATATCCTAATTTGATCTTGACAAGCTCTCATCTTTTTATTCCAGGTATTATTTAGTAAATCTGCTGAAACTAAAATAAGACAATTGGTGAAAGAGGAGAAGGATGATGAAAAAAGAGAAGCAGCAAAGGTGCTTGAAAACATGATTGACCTGATTAATCAGGTAAAAACTGAGAGAAATTAATTGCTATGTTGGCAGTCATGAGGCTAATCCTGTTTGTGAGTTCCTGTCAGGCTACTGCTGGGGACTGCTGGAGCAGGAAGTTGGGTGCCATGATAGAAGGGGCCAAGAAGAGGAGAGTGGGACCAGTCTTTAGAAAGATGTGATACTTTCTCATGAGTGGCTGCAGAATGCTTTTATCTGGTGCAGTCTGCTGGCTGCAGGACGTAGAGGGAGTGGGATGGCACGGGAACCTAGTGCTAGGATGTGACTCGTTCATGATTCAACAAGTAGTAATCTTTTGTCTGAAGTTTTTCACTAAGTTATATAGTACAGGAGGATGGGGGTGTTCCAGTGCCTGGATCCACACAGCCCTCAGACTCCTTGTCTTAGCACAGATGTTATTTGTCTGTGGTAGTGCCAGAGACCCCTGAACAGCGGTGAGGTGCCAGTCCTCCTTAGGAGAGGCGAGGACTATCACTTGCCCTTGGCAGAGCTGTACAAATCTGCTGCTGTTCTTACCTCAGGGGCAGCGTGGTATGGGCAACAAAACCAACGTTCCTCCCCTCTGCAACCAAACCAACCACGCTCAGCTACACTGGGCAAGTTTACCTGGCTGTACTTGCACTCTTCAGCTGGAAGCTTACTGATCAAATCCTGCCTTCCTTTCTTCACTGTTGACTGCTCCAGTTTTCTTCCCTTTCTGTTAACAGACTGTTGGCGATGCCATCTCAGACATGCTGGTTATTGAAGCAATCCTGGCCTTGAAAGGTCTGACTGTGCAACAGTGGGATGCCCTCTACACTGACCTTCCCAATCGGCTGCTCAAAGTTCAGGTGAGTTACACACCATGCTGGTTCAGGTTACAGCAGCATCTCGGGGCCCTACTGTGAGCATCCTGTGCCTGCAGATATTGAGATAAGCTTTATTTTTAAGCTGAAACAGCCCATTAAAGGGCAGAAGTACTCCAAACAAGCCATGAAATGACCCAGAGGAGGGACCAGAATTTGACTTGGACTAAGATAAAAATACAACTTACAAAAATGATGAAATAATAGCCAACTATGTTAAATGGAAAAACCTGACCAGAACTCTTCAAATTTTAGCCTAATTGTTTCCTTCTTAACTTTCAAATTAGAAAAATCCCATTTTTCTAAGGGCCCTGCTTGCTGGGCAGCTGGATTTTTTCTTGCTGTGCCACTTTGTATAACTTGAATGTTCAAGCTCTTGCTTCTTTATCCTCTCTAATATTCAAAGAGCTTGAGCAGAACAGGCTGCCATGTGGTAGCATTCTGTTAGACAAAGTAAGGAAGCTCTGGGCTTTAAATTAACCAGAGGAGAGAATTTCAGCTTTCTGATCTACTGGGAGAAGCTGCAGCTTCACTTCAGAGTCTGACAAAGGAGGCATGTTCAGAACTGACCCTTTTCCAAACTGAGCAGCTGAGCCCTGTCAGGATGTGGTTAATACATGCTGAGCAGGGATCCTAGGGATCCCAAGTGTTTGAGTAGCCCTTTAATAACTCTCAAATTGAACTCTTCTTCAGGCAACACAACAGATCGAAACCTGAATTTATGTCTTATCCACGACACAAACAAATTGTTTCTGATGCTGCAGGTTGCAGACAGGCGTGTTATTGACACAGCGGATGCAGAAAGACGCGCGGTTACACCTCCGGGACTGCAGGAGAAAATTGATGCCCTTGTAAAGAAGTACAAGTTGTCACGAGCTTTTGTCCGTCCATCAGGAACAGAGGATGTCGTTAGAATATACGCTGAAGCAGACACACAGGTCAGTGCTTAAACATCTTGTTTATGTTAAACAATGTTCTCCTTAGCGTGAGGTGACAGAAGTAGTATGCTTACATACTTCTCATTTAATCACACTTAACAAATGCCAAATTTGGAAAAAAAGACTTAATGATCACAAAAAGTCTCTTTGGATTTTCTTTTATTTAGAAAAGTAATGTTTCATGTTCTCAATGTTTATCTTTAAAAGGAAAATGTGTTTATAAAGGCAGATTTGACACTAGATGATTTTGAAAAGCTTTCTGAGATCTCAGGGTTAAGAAGAAAGTTACCAAAGCACTGCCTACTTGCATGATTTCATAAGAGGCAAAATAGAAAAAAAATTCTTGCTGCTGTTAAGTTAGTCCACATCTGAACTTAAAGTTGACAGTAAAAGCAATGAAAAGCTCTACCTCCTTCACATGCTCTGGCCTGCTTCTCCCTGCCAGTGTGATGGCAGTGGCAGAAGATACCTCAGGCTGATGGAGCAATACAGGGAGCACAGCATTTGCAAGGAAATGCTTGCCTTAATATCACATATTTGGTCTAACCTTCTCATGGTGACAGCAGCATAACTAAGTTTTCCAACATTCCACAGGAGAATGCGGATGCCCTTGCCCACGAAGTAAGCCTGGCCGTTTACCACCTCGCTGGTGGAAAGGGAGCACCACCCCAGCCTATATAACGAATGATACAACAGCAGTTAAATTACACAGCTTTGCTTATCTTTTAATATTACTTTTTTTACCACGTGCTCTTGTGCACGTACTCAACCCTTCCTGGGAGTAATAAGCATTGATCAGAACTGAACAGAATATTTTTCCACTTATTCTTTACCTCCTTTAGCAACTTACCTCTTAATGAGATGCACTTGCTGCTGAATGTTCCCCTCCCCAAGTTTGTCTAAGTTCTTGACAGGCCGTGGCCATGCCTAGAAGGAAATCTGCCCCAGCCCAGCTTAATTCATTGTCACATTGTGCCTGAAATCCAGCTCCTGCACTCTCAGAGCACTGGCCATGGCTGCATGACTGGAGCTCTGCTGTGACTGTGCTCACAGTGGCTGCAGCACAGTGCCTGCTGCAGGAACATCATCCCCACCTTCCCACAGCAGCCCAGTCATCTGTGGGCAAACAGCATAAGGCACAGGCTGTCACTAGTCTTCAGATTCAGTTTACCTCAGTTCGAGGGGGAAACAATAAAATAAAAAAAGAACATTTGCAAATAATAACTTATTATTGCAATATTATCTTCATTAGATACTTTGTGAAATTATAAATACTATTACTGCAAATCACTTTCTAATTAATCACACTTAAGAGGGAAGGGACAGAGACAAGTTTGTCTTCTGTGGCCCTTACTGCTGCCCAGCACCATGAAGGGGCTGGGTCAAGGGGTGTAGTGTTTTAAACACACAAGTGTCCTCCTCAGCTTACTTTGATTCAGGGTGTCTACCTCTGACGTTGTTCTTGTAGTCCTGTATTAACTCCTGACATAATGGCATTTTCCAGATTATTAAATAAGCACAAGTTCTAACAGATTTAAAAAAAAAAAGACAGAAATAAACTGGAAACAAATTGAAAAAATGTGCACCTTGTATTTTTTTTTTTTAGTTTTTTTTAAAGACAGAACTCAAGACAACAAAACATTTACTGCAAATAGTAGGCACCATAATCAATATGAGCCACCAATATTTAAACTTGATTCAGGCCACATCCAGAACTTTTCTCTTATTTACAAATATTTAACTTAAATACAACATTAAGTATTTCATTACATACAAAGTAAGAAAAGAATACTATACACCTGGGAAAGATACAGTATTTCATTTAAATAGTTACACTTCACATAGGCTGCGTAGTACCAGTTTGGTTCATGATTTTATGACACCTTCAAGAAAATCCTTCTCAACCATTTCTTCTATCTTTTGTCTTGCTTTGCTAGAGAAGGTCTTGAGGTTCTCCATTTTTATGTCCTTACTCGGAAAACAGCTGGGGTAAAGGACAGGGCTCCCTGAGTGTCCAACACATCTGCTTGTGACTTTGCTGTTAAAAACTTGGCTGAGTACGTTGAAGAAAGGCAAAAGCTGCTCGATGCTGCGAACGGTGTAGATTGTTAAAAGCAAGTGACCTGGTTCCCAACTTAGTGTTTTCCCTGAGCCATCCTCCTCCGGGTTTTTCTGTAAACACAGAGACATGGCAAATAATACAGGACAAAACAGAAAAAGCACAGGTAAAAGTAAAAGAGTAATGTGTAATAAAGTATTTTTCTATATTCCAAAAGTATTTGTCCTATCAACAAGACATATATGCTGGAGTGCAGCTTCTGAAGCAGATCCCTTGCTCAGCACACCCTGCAGAAGCGGTGGCTGGGAGTGTACAGGTGGCAGTCGGTCAGCCAGTTGCAGTGGGCATTTGAGTCCAACACCTCATCCCAGGGCTGTCCCAAAGCAAGGCAGCCCCCGCCATGCTGCCCTGCAGAGCTGCTCCTGGTGCAGCACCCCATGGGATAACACAAATGGCCCGAACTGGTGACAGCCAGCATTGGCTGCTCGGGGAAGTTGTGAGCTACTTCAGCAGCTTTCATAAGCAGGCTCCTCTCTGGTGACACTCACACTTCACCCTACTGCCAGCATCAGTGATGATAAACCCCAGAGGAAGTTAAAATACATACGAAGCATTTTCCCTTTGCAGCTTGAGTTCAGAGTTTTCAGGAAGAGCAAAAGCAATGCTGGTTTTGATATCAGAACAGACACTGAGGTTCTGAGAAACACTTGAAGTTGTCCTCAAAGAGACGTGGTTCAGTTACTCATTACATGCTCTCAGAAGAACTCAGTTATGCTCCTTCCATTCCATGGGAGAATTTCAAGGGAGGGAATTTCAGGAACCCCACAAGCAAAGGCAGCAGTCACATACCAGATGCTCACTGGCAGTATCAGCACACTGCTCTAACCCTGTTTAGGGTTGCCTTAAATACCCGTGTACTGAAATACTGAGCACCAACATTCTGGTTCTTATATGGTAGTCTTCACTCATTTCCTTTTTCTCTTTGAGTCAAAAAACATATTCAAATCTAGACAATGAGGTACTATCACCACTAGAAACACCTTGTGTTACTGTTACTGACAAACCAGTACAGAAAAGTTTCTACCATGAAGTAGGATCCCAGCAATACTGGATTTTATTCTGTGAGAAAGGAGAAAAGAAGCACAAAGGCCCCACTAAGGAGAGCCACCTCCTGATCCACCCCTGACCAGCACCTCTGTCCCACTGCCCTGGCAGTGCCTGTGGCCAAAGCGAGAGTCCGAGACCCCTGCAGGTTGCAGAGCTCCTGCAGAACAGGCTTGGTAATGAAAGCAGAATGAAGGGGAAAGAACAGCAGTGGGAGCAGAGTGCAAGGTAAGACTGACTGCACAGCCTTTGAGCAAACAGAGATGATTCTTCAGCAAATACAGGTTTTACCCTTTAAATGAAGCACTCCTGCAATTCATGAGCCTACCTGACACTTTTTTCACAAACCCCAATTTGGTTAAAATTCAATATGGTTGTATATAATATTTTAATCTGGTGGTTTGGCTTCCTGCCACAGGAGATCACTCTTCCAGCTCTACAAGTCTCCACAAAGGAAAAGCTCACACTGAACCAGAAAAAAGGGAAGACTGAATTTCCAATACAGAAGGAGTTGTTGATGCCTCCTTCTTTTAATGAAGCTACTAGTTTTTAGAGTTTCTCCTTTAAAAACTTCTCACTGGATTCACAGAAGAGAAGCTTCTCCATATTGGTTCTGTACTGTGCTCAGCATTACCCAGCAGTGAGCAAAGGCTGCCTCCAGCACACAGCAGGTGTCGGTGTTACACACCGCCCAAACAAATGGGGTGCACGTGCAAATACTGACTCTCTGAGCAGTGAAATGCAACCCAATCCAAGCCATTTCCTCATGGCCATATCTGCTAAGAAAACACCACTAATTCCACAGATACTTAAAACAACAGTTAATTGGACAGAGACCCCGATTAGGGATTGTGTGTTTCATACCTGGTGTTTGACAAAAATTATTTTACAATTTAATTTTATCATGATTTGTGATCATAATGCTTCTTAGAAGTAACAGTAGCTTTTTGTAATCTAATTCATATAGGAAATCAAATTTATTTTTAAGTTATCTATAAAAATAAGGGTGCTTATGATTCTTTCACCTCAAAAATCTCTCAGCTTTGTTCTACAACAAATCTGATCTCTCTCAGTTCTTACTGAAGGCTAAATAGCGCCCAGGGCCTTGAGGTGATGGTATTATTATGGTGAGTTTGTTTCACAACTCAAGCATCAAAGGCCACCCTCACCTGATGCTTGGCCATCTCCATTCCCTCCAAAACCACCGTCTTAAAGTCCTCCTGTTTGTCCTGTGGAAGGAAAGAGGAGAACTTTCAGACTGCATTTCAGATATGAAAATAATACTTTGCCGTGAAGGCCGTGCAGTTGCTTGGTTGGGTGCTAGAAAAATCACCCGCCCCAAATGAGTGCATGATCCAGAAATGGCAGACTCGAGCTAGTGTGGCCAAGACGCTATTAGACAGAAACAGCACTCCCAGTTTGTTCTTCTGTTTATTTCCAGCAGTGCTGAAGGAGGTTTTTAAGCATGTTTCCCCTCAGATAACACAGCCTGAGCAACACTGTACTACATGAATCTAAGCATTAGTCAGAGTGCCCTGAAAGAAAATTAAGATACACTCCATTTTGCTCATATCAGTTATTTTCTAAGAAAACCCCACAGCTATATGCAACAATATTCTCCTCTGCATAAAGTAGGCCAATATTCATTACCTCAGGTTTATCTCATCATACGCCTACCTATGGTTCAGTGTGCAACTGCTGCCGTGACTAGGGGGTTCCAGAAATTCCAGGAAGTCTTCTATATTCTTGAAGCATATTGTGGAAGTTCTGATTTCAGAAATCTATCTCAACATACAGTACTTACCATAAGCATGCATATCTTACACATCATATGTGCTTTATAATTCATGCACAGAGATCACTTGGAGTGTGACAACTTTCTAACAGATACAGCACACTACACTGAACACCAGGGTTAGAGGCTATGCCTGATGAGCAGTCAGTTAAAACTGATCATTCCTTTATAAATGCAAGAAGAGAAATTTAGTCTCATCTTCATGGTTGAAAAATGATAAAATGAAGAATGCAGATATGCTTCAGATACTTGTTTTATCCCCTATAGATATGAGCCTTGCTCGAATAATTCAGATTTTCCTGCAACTAAGTTATCCCTAAGCTTTATGTAGCCACTTGGATCTCAGCAGTAGTTTCTTTGCTGTGTAAAAACACTCATTGGGGACTGTAAATGCAGTAGCTGCAGCAAACTGCCAGTGTTACAGCCCAGATCATGCCATCTATTTGGAGGAAAACCTGAGAATAAAACTTCAAAGCTTTCTCCCACATGGCTTTGCACTTCCTCCCTGCTTCTCTGGCCCACCAGCAACCTTTGCCATTGAAGTGCCTGCTCATGGGGGCTCTGTCCTCACAGCGGGAGCAGCAATGTATGTGACAGCAATGGTCTTACTTTGTGGCAGCAGAAGGACTCTCCCTGGGACAAAGCTTGGCCAGCTTCCATCAGCTTCACTAGTGGATTAGGCCTCTGCCTCACCCAAACTGAGGTTTTAATATACCTCATACAACATGACAACCCTAGTTCTGCTCCCA